CAAAAAAAAAAAAAAAAAAACATAAATGAGGTACTTTCATTTGGAACATAATCGTTATTTAAAACATCTACCGAGAATAAAAAAACAACGTTGGTCAACGACCGGTGTTGGCGCTGTGACTATGATGACAGGAACCAGTTAATTAACCATCACTGACATCTCAATGGTCCGGCCGTTTTTGCAATGATGCTCGGCCGGAACATTAACGGACGAAATAGTTTGATATTTTATCGCCGCCTCCCCTTCCCCCGCCGGCCGTGTACCCCATGCCCCGTGACTGCAGACCGGCACAACCTCTTGTGTTTTCACCCGAATACCCTTCCATTACTTCAACAACACAATACGCCTCCGCAAATACCGTCAGCACGAGTCTATTGAAACGGCCAGTCGTCGGCACTTCAAAACGATCGGATGTGTTTGCGTTCATAAGTTTGTTTGTACGGAAGATAAGTTATTTGCGCTTGCGTCCGCCTTTGGTGCGCTGAGGTGTGTGTGTGTTTGTGTGTTTGTGTGTGTGTGTGCCATGCGAGTTGTAATAATAATAGAGCTGTCAACGAGCCACTTTATTATCACCGTCGCTGCCGCCAGCAGCGGTGTCTTTGAAGCCGCTGCCGCTTTGATATTTTGTCATACATCAGTTAAAAACGGGTCATTTTGGCGACGGCGCGTATCGTCGTCGAAATAATTATAAAAAATAACGCGACCAACACGAATAGAACCATAGCGTCTTGTGTTCAGTATTTCATTAATAGTGGAAACAAATTATTCTCTTGTATTTTCATTGGTACAAAATGTGACTATGAAGTTCTCATCTAATAATAATACTTAATAATCTTTCAAACAATTTGTATAAAACACTCAGAGATCTGAGAATCTGTAAATTTTAAATTGGATTTATATAAAGCAACACGTTTACGTAAAATAATATCCGTTTGATAAAAATCAAATATATTTCGAAAAAGTTTTCTAGTAAACGATTATGCTAATTTATTTGTTTTTATAATAAAATATAACCAACGCGATTGTTACTCAAAGAATCTTTGCCTGGAAAAGATGCTAAAAACAAATTAAAATAATTCGTCGACGTTTCAACGTTCTCAAGGGTTTATCAACTGTTGTATAACAAATATTTTGAATAGGTTAAATGAGTTGTCAATAACAGGTGACAGTACCACAAAAAAAGTAATTTGAGTTGGGCATTAGTTCTACTACGAAACACATTCAGGTGCGTTGGACGTAAAATAGACATGGCAGAGGATTGAAAAAATAAGGTATACAGGGTGATTTATTGTCTGTGAGTTGAAAATAACTTTTATTATAATATATCATTCGGTATTTAATTTTACCAAAATAGAATAAAAACCATTATTTTGACAATAAAATTTATAGTTCATATATTTCCACGACCTAAACCATTTTCTAAATAAAATATACCAAAAAACTAAACGATTAGTAAAAAATCAATTTTTGTCTAATAGCTGACTCTAAAAAAAAAAAACAACTATTTTGGTTTCTACTCATTCTAAAAACTGCGTCCAACGCTTTTATTCACAACACTTATTTTATTGTCCTTTATGATAGTAAATATTACCGAACGCGCAGATATCACAGACATACCACTGGCAGAGTAGAGCATACCCTATACGTTTGTAACTAGATGTTCTAGCTTGAAGCTGTCATTATAAAAGAAAAATGTAATTTCAAAAATATTTCGCAGTAATACGTCAGTTCCTACCTAAATGCAATGTATAAGTGTATATTTTGTGACACGACGAAAATGTCATTTTCAGATCGCCTAGCGAAGATTACATTGCTGTAAAAATGTTTAGGGACGAGAAAAATAAACTTTCTTGTTATTTCCAATGAGATGACGCAAACATATTTCTATGTAAGAAAAAAATCATTTTAAAGTTTCTTCTCCACAACTTAACTCAAGTTATAAAATCAACATTACGGAATATTTATAACACTCTACTGCGCAGTTATCTCTGCTCATAGTTCCTTTATTATGGCTAGGATATTACTTTACTTGATAAATTTTGCAGTTTTTTAACTAAGAATTTCTTTCTATGAAAAGGCTTTATCAACGGATTTTTTTGTAATTTTACTGGACAACAAATAATCAAACATTTTCTGTTGTATACAATAATTAAATGAATTCCATAAGGGGTTTTTACGCTGACTTCGGACTTTTTTCTAATATATTTAAAAATATATTTTTTACATCAAATAAGAAAAAAGTTTTTGAAATTTTTAATTTTGTACACATTTTTCAATATATGTATTGTATTTTGTATTATGTTAGTTTTTATTTTTTCAAGCAAAAAGAAAGTAATATATTCTACTTATCAGTTGGTTAACGAGTAAGTTGAATATAAAAAAGTTATAGTGAAAAGTTCTACTCTTTAAGGAGAGTCATATTAGAAAAGCTCCTACACAAATTTTGTTGAAATTCAGCTCAAGATAAAAATAAAAACAAATTAAATTTTAATTTTTATAAACTATATGAATTTATTATCTATTTTGTTTCATTTTAAATCTATATTCTTACGACATAAAATAGATCAAAACATTACTACGGATCAAAGTATAAAACGAAAAAAAAAAACTAGTTTTTTTTTTCTACCGGTAAAGTTTTAAATCATTTTATTCCAAATAAAATATGAAACGAAACATACAAAACACTATTTTAATTCCTCATACTTATTACTACTCACTAAAAAAATTTTACATTTTCCTTTATTTTACACAATTTATTTAATTTATTTTTCCTTTATTTAAAAAATTGTTACATTTCTCTCTTCATTCCCTATATTTATCCCGTTTTTACTCTAATGCACATAGTCCATTATATGCTATTGAACTTGACACTTAGAAGATTTTTCTGAGATAAACTTGATTTTTCATTTTATGGTACATAACACGATATTGATATCTAGTCCTCATCTATGGTATACTCAGAAAGGTTGAAATAAAACAATAAAGTGCTACACTGTTCTCTTTTAGGTATCTAAATGTATACATTTTCGGGATGATAAATCTCTTGAAAATCTACTATGATAATAAAAATAAAAATTGATAATCAATGTATATTGTAAGATTCTATTAAGCTTGGGAAAAGTAGAAATACATACATTCAAGATATTATGATAAGATATTGGTTTTCTGACTTGAAATTTTTTCAGAGTATAACACTCTAAAAAAGCATTCAATTTAAACTATTATAATATTGAACAAAAATCTGTAAGGTAATAATAAAACAATTTATTGAATAATATTTAGCAATTAATTGTTATATATGTACAAAGTATTAAACAAAATAACGGTTAAATAAGTTGTAAATCATTAATAATAAACGTGATAATAATTTTGATTTTCAAATGTCGCAGTTTTTAAATAAAATAATTGTTTCAATAAATAATGCACTAATAATAAATTACGTAAAATTTTAACGAAATGATATTGTTTTAGTTTTATTGTTCAGCATACTGAGGAACATCGACAGCGAACCAGTTATTGACAAACCGATGAATATTTTCATCATATGGTTCTTGCGGCACTGGTTTATACATTGCATTTGAGTTTTGTGTGTTATACGGATCATTCCCACTATCGTATGATTCATAATTATAACCACTAATGATCTGTCCCGTTTGCCTATCATACATGTTACCAGAATTTGCAAAATAGCCAAACCGATTGTCTGAAGGTAAATTTTCATTAGTATATGTCAATTCAACATGATCCTTTTCTTTATCAGAACTTTCATTATGAATATTATTATTTTCATGTTCATTAGTGTGTTGTTGAGACTGTGTTATTTGTTGTTTATTTTCGTTTTGATTTGAGGATTCTTTTGAAATTAATCTGTCAAATATTTGTTTCAAATAATCCAAGCTCACTGAAAATTATATTTTAAAAATAATTCTATATAAAAAATGCATAAGGTCATACAAAAGTTACAGACCTGTATTATAAAAAATATTATAAGATATATACTCAGCGTTATGAGTATTTATTTGAATACACGAAAATATTAATTTGTGACATATGTTAGATATATAATACTATATGATAAATAATCCATTACAAATTGTTAAAAAAATTATAGTATTGCACTTGAATTTTTTATATTTAATATTAGGTAAATCAGATCTGGTTATACGTAAGGTGTTTATATAAAAAAAATTGTTTTGGTTCTTTCCTTTTTTAAAAATATATGGCAGTTTTAAGTATCAAAATAAAATCACGATAGAAAGTGATTATTCACACAAAAATTACACTTTTATAATGTTTAAAAATCGAATTTCCGGAAAATTTTCAATAGTTTTATTTTTTACTCAAATATTTCAAGATTTGAACCCCTCCTGTATAAATGAAAATGGTCCGATTTAAAAACCAAGTATGCCGAATGAAAGGAGTAGACATTAGGTATTTATAAATAAAAAATTGCATTGACTCATATATTTTTCAAAAAGTTAAAGTAATTTAAAGTTTAAAAAATAAAATGTGAAATTGAAAATTTTGACATGAAAATTTTATGTTTTTAACTACAGCAGCCATTTACACGTAGAATATAAGTCGTCAAAACAAATTTTTTTTAACATATGTTTGAAGGACCCAGTATTTCGTAACATTTTCAAAACTTAAGTTGAAAAAGTTAAATTTTTGTGCAAAATTTGTTATTTTGAATCCTCCCCTGTAGGCAGTTAATTGGTCAAATTTTCAAAAAATATATATATACAAAAAAGGAAAGTACCTATGGCGTTTATATAAATAAAATATTTTAATTCTTTCATTTTTTAAATTACTTACCTTTGCACAGCGGACATTGTGTTATTCCAGTCTCTATGGTTTGATAGATACACTTCACGCAAAATGAGTGACCGCATTCAGTTTTCATATTTGCTTTGTTTTCCTGGCAAACGCTGCAAAAACGTTTACCATGATCTGGCTTAGGTAAGCCTAGGTACTCTATTGTAATAACAGATTTAATATATATAAATATATATTTGTTAAATGTTTTAAGCTATGAATAAAATCAGCACAAAATTTACTTGTCATCTCGAAACAAATTAGTATTATTATGACTGCATCATTATGCAATCCAAACATCGGCTGATATATGGACGGAGTTCATGTAAATGGAACAAGTCATAAAAAGCTACCTTTAGTAAAAAAATTTTCAAAAAAAATTTACAATTCATACATAAACATTTATACTTTATATCTAACGTCATTTGATATTTTAAGTGACTTCACCAATAAATGAACAGTTAAGAGTTTTTCACCTTTTAAAGTTTTTAATAATTTTTATTTTGATGGCACATTCAGAAAGTTAATAAATATTTTTTCTCTATAAAATTGTCTATAATTATAAAGTAAAAATATTTATAACTAACAAACGCAAAAATTCTAATTAAAAATTTTACATACAAAATTTTAATTTTTCAGTCAATGAACATTTAATGATATTGTATAAAAAAACTGTGATAATATAGTAGGACTTAATATAGATATTTTAGCTTCGATGCGAAGCTGAGAAGGTATTAATTATGATTTGATTTTTTTTTGTGCCTGTTACCACTTTTTCTCAGCTCTCACCGAACCGATTTCTTTCAATGATACGTCGAAAGATCAAAAATCGTAAATAATCGAAGACATTACCCTTAAAAATTGAAAACATTTCCATGGTTCCCCGTAAATGGGGGAAACCTCCAAAAAAATTACAAATTTAAAAATCGCGAAATTTTTTCAATTTTTTTTTATTAAAAACTGCCATAACTTTTACAAAATTAAACAAATCAATATAAATTTTTTTTATAGATGCTTGATGTCCTTACCTACCATTTGGTATATTTTTTTTTATAAAATTTGACCTCTGGACTTGTCTTCATGGTGAAAATGGCTACCGAATGCTATTTTCGTGTGAAAATTCTCGATTTTATTTTTTACATTTTTAACTTTATAATGTTATAACTTATTGAAAAGTTTATGAATCAGCACAATTTTTTTATGAGAAATAATATTTTTTAATAATCTCGTGTTCATTTGACATACTTTATCTTAATCAAGATATTAATAAGGAACTAGCAGATCATGTAGCTTTTGGAAAAATTCACCAATTTTTTAAAATTAAACACTATCTAAAGATTTGCATCGAAGCGTTTTTTTTTTTATAGTGATTTTTTAATCACTGTCAGATATCATTATACTTGATTCAACTATGCCACGACCCCACTGTGCCACTATCCCACTGTGCTGGGTTTTTTTCGTTGTAATAACTACTACTAAAATTTGTTACAACCAGATTAAAAAATTTTTAGTTAAAAATTCAGTGGTGTTCGTTTACTGATAATGTTACCCTACTTGATAATCATTGGAGACCATTGATGTGATTTTTAACAATGTTTTCGGCATAAAATCTCCTAAAAAATTATCATATAAACTAAATATAACCAAAATTTAATGTCCCTCTTTTAAACATGAAATTCGTCCATATACAATATCAAATTTATCGAAATATGTTTTTTTATCCGACATTTATTCCGATATTATTAAAAGTAAATATATGTCATCCTAATAAATTAATAAAATATAACTACAGATTATTTTATAGTTATAATTATTATATATTTATTATTACAATAATTATATATTTTAAATAGTTCATAGAATTGTGTACTTAAACATTTTGTATTTTATTTTACTTTGAATGATTGAAAACATAATTATGAACATTTTTTATCCTTAAAATTATTGTAATATAAATAGTAATACTATATAAATTCTAGTCATCAATTATTTTTACATACAATTAAAATATTATGGACATTAAAATGTTGAGTCATGTATAATCATTTCATCCCTCTTTGAAGAATATATTTATGTAAAGAAATATATAATTTAAAAAAATTCAAATTTGTTATCTCACTCAACAATAATAATTTTTAAGGTAATTAGTCATATCATTTACAGAAGGGATAAAAATAAAAAAATCCATATTATCATAAACACAATAGCTAATCAACGAGCCCTAGATACTTATAAATGAACCTCTATACACCTAAAACTGATCATTTTCTTTTGCAGGACAGAATTATGATACTATTATTACTAATATTATATTTCAATTAATTTTAATATAAGAAAATATGAAGTTGAAATTAGATTAATTTTTGACTAACAAATTAAATTTCTTAAATTAAGTTTTAAATTAAAATATTTAAATAACAATCTGAACTGATATAAATACTTGTTCTTTAATAAAATCATTATACCCTTTGAAATAATCATAAAATATTCATGAAATTAAAATAATCATAAAAATAAAGTTTTATTACTTGGGCTAAATTTATCACGAAAAACCAAACTAGTTACTCTACTCAATCCGATACTATATGTAACAAATGAACTTAATACTAATGAAATAATTAAATACTTGTATGATTTAAATAATAACATTTTTGTTAGATGAATAATAATGATATTAAATAATTAGTTTTAAAGTAATTTATTCAAATTTTTAAACAACTACATAGTGGTACAAAAAAAATGCTGTTTTATGTATTTTTTAATTCACATTAAAGTAAATAAAATTTTTTTTAGTTGTTTACTTGGCTCATTTAAATTTATAAAACATTTAAAATCATCATTTTAAATTACTTCAATAGATAGTAAATATTTGTACATTGTGATGTTGAATACACAAAAAATTGGTAAATATGAATCATGTTCAACAAAATTTGGTGTATATTAAGTATTTTACATAAATAATTTTGTTATTCTTAAAAAAAAAATACATATTTTTTAATAAATAAGACATATGACTATATTCAATTACTTTTCAACAATTTCAGGACTCTTAAAAATTTATCATCAACATATACTCGTAAGATTAATATGATTGCAAAAGAATAATAAAATTTTTATTGTCATAAGTTATAATTATTATTAGTGTTGGTGAAATTAGGGACCAAATAAATATATTTTTTGTAATATGAATATATATGAAATAATGAGAACACGAGGTAGGGGAAATGAGGAAGTCAGTTACAATAGGCGAGGACGTGATTGGAGAAGTGGAGAGCTTTAAATATTTAGGGTCAGTTTTGCAAAAAAGTGGTGGTATTAACGAGGATGTAAGACACAGGATTAAGTGCGGGTGGTTGAAGTGGAGAGAAGAGTCTGGCGTCTTAAGCGATAAAACAATTCCAATGAGTCTGAAAGGTAAATTCTAAAAGACTGTATTGAGGCCAACTATAATGTATGGTTCAGAGTGTTGGGCGGTTGATAAGAAAATAGAGCAAAGAATAAGTATAGAAGAGATGAGATGCTTAGATGGATGAGTAGAGTAACTAGAAAAGATAAAATAAGGAACGATCATATAAGAGAGAGTATAGGTGTAATGTCAATTGTGAGATAAGGTGGGGGAAAATAGAGTTAGATGATTTGGACATGATATGAAGAAAGAGGAATCGGAAGCTGTAAAAACAGTTATAGAAATAAATGTTGAAGGAAGAAGACGTAGAAGAAGACCAAAATAGAGATGGAGAGATATTGTTGAATGCGTTATGATGACAGTTGATGTGAGAGATTGTGTGAAGTGGAAGTTAAGGATAAGGGTGGCTGATTCCAAATAGTTGGGATTAAGGAGAGGAAGAAGATGAAAAATATACATGAAATGCATCGAGCTGAACTAGATGTAATCATCTTTAACAATTACCCAAAAAACATTTTATTTGACCTAAAAAGAAAATAGTCATTTGAAAAAATTTGATCTGTGAACAAATAAATAGTTTAATAACTTACTTTATTATTATATTTATAACACATAAAAATTTGTAAAATATTAACACTGTCATAAATTAAAGAAAAAAACAAAATTGTTTATTTAAAATATTTTAGTATTATTTTTAAGTCCTCAAATTTTAAAGACACGCAAAACATAATGTTGACTAACGAAAAGCTAATTAAATTGATATCTTGGATAAAAAAAAACATTTTTAATTGAAAAACAACATGATAAAACTAAGCATCGTCCAATATTATAAGAATTTTTTTTAAAACAGTATAAACGCAATTTAAAGGTTGTTTTTTAATGATTATAAGTGTTCTTTCGTCTATTTATTGTTTGAAATAATAATTAGTAGATTATTGTGAATTATAATTGTTAATACACCTAAGTATTTTATAATCATATTATTATTTTATTAATTATTATTTATTTAACTAGTGGGAATAATTTTCTGGTTAACTACTTTTGGAGTTTATTTATTTATTTACACAACACATATCGTAGCCGGGATACTTCTACCGGAATCAATGGCCTACCTGTAAGGACTGCCCGAAGGACTGCAGGGCAACAGGTCAGGGGCAGAGCTCCAGCTAGCCAAAGCCTAGTATCTTATATTAATAAGAAAATATAATTAAATACAATAAAATATAACTATTATATTACAACTTTATTCAATATATAAAAACTAAAACTTAATTATAAATTAAATAGAATAAATATGTGAGCTAAAAATTCATTTTAAAACAATTTTTTATACAATTAAAGAAAAAACATGAATGTGTTATATTGAAATTTTTAATTTACATTTTATGAATATATATTTTCAAGGACTATTTTAAAACATGTAGACATGTAGGATTACTGGTCTTATAATATAAAATTTTAAGCTACAAGATTAATACAGTTAAGCTAGAAGTAATCAATTTTTATTATATAAAATCAAAACTAATTATTTATTTATTAATTTAAATATAGGATGATATCAGGAACTACTTCTATTGAATACTAAGAATAATATTGATCTTTTCTATTGATTTCTTTTAGTTTAATGTTTTTGTCAACTTATCAATCACATTATTCTTTAACCTTATTTCTACGTTAAAATAGTGTCAACTTTAATTTCTCAAAAGGTTACACAAATAATCAAATAGCTTATTTAATATATAATAATCTATTGTAAGGATTAAAAAAAAAAAAAAATTGAAGTGAAAAATGTATAAAAGAAGTAATTGATCTGATAACCTCCTAAAGTATGTTTCAAGATAATTATTAGAAGAGCTGTAAATAATATGCATTTATACATTGTATTCAGTTAAACCGAATACACAATTTTTTTTTATGAAAATTTTGTAATATGCTTTTCCGATGTTTGGTAGGCATTAGGAAGTAATTCCCTAAAATATATATATATATTTTTTTATTTATTCACGCTCAAGTCATAGTCATACGCAGCAAAACAACAATATTAT